TGATTTGCATTTCTCTGATTGCTAGAGATGGTGAGCATTTTCTCATGTGCTTGTGGATTGATTGTATGTCCTCCTCTGAGAAGTGTCTGTTCAGGTCCTTGGCCCATTTGTTGATTGATAATGCTCTAATTTAAAGAGACTATAAATAAATAGAAGTAAGATCAGTAGAGTAAAGGAAGCAGAAGGAGGAAGCAGGGAAGGAAAGGGGAAGTACTGGGGACTGAATTGAAGCAAATTATATTCCTTGCTTGCATCATTATGTGAAAATAAACTCTAATACTATGTATAACTAAAATGAATGAATCTCCCTTTTTCTTATGTTCTCCAGTTCCATCCCTTTACCAGTCGAGGTCAAGACCAAATCTGAGAGACTCATTCAGAGGTTGGGTCAATGATGGGAGTTAAAGAGACCAAAAGGAGTAGAGTGATAGGCAAAGAGACCCCTGGAGAATGTGCTCTCCCAGAAGCTGAGAGAGAGAGAGAGAGAGAGAGAGAGAGAGAGAGAGAGAAGAGAGAGAGAGAGAGAGACCCAAGAAGAAGGAGGCAGTCAGGTGGGTCAGGTGCTACAGATTGATCTAGAAGGATTGATGTAGAAGGAGGAGTGAAAAGGCTCCCATAGGTTCGGCAATTGGGAGTAATCAGTTAGTGCTTGGAAGGCACCATTCTGGGGAATGGTGAGGACTGATACAAGATTAGAAATGGCTGAAGAAGTGAGTGAGAGGTAAGGAGGCACAGAAGGGAGGGAGAGAGTATGTGGAAAGTTGAACTTGTGGTCAGAGAGTGAGGAAATTGGAGTAAATGCAGATAGGACTGATGATTTGTTGGCAGGAATATTGAGGACTTCCATTTTCTCTATAAAAGACCAGTTCTGCTGTAGATTAGAAAGAGAGAAAGAGTGAAAAGCAGTCAAGTTTGATGCAACAGGGGATGGGGGTGACATACAGAAGTTCAGGGGATGGTAGTTTTGAAGGAAATGGAAAAGATATTAAAGTTATAGAAGAAGGTGGAAAGTGCCTTACTCATAAAACATCCAAAATTGCCTGACAGTTTTGAGGGACTGTTTGAGTAGCCCTGTGAGCCAAGTCACACTGTTGCACATATTCAACTCCAGCTGGTAAAAAGTCTCAAGGTCTCCAAAAGGGTTGTTAATCCAGGCCTGGCTTCAGCCAGAACACTTTCAACTGGAGAATTTTTCAGATTCTTCCCCCCACCCCTTAACTAACAAAAAATAATCTGGAGCAATATTAGAGCCCTGAACTTTTGGGAAGGGAAGAAGAGAGTAAAAATAGGACAGAAAAGTTGACTTGGAGATACTGAAGACAATTTTAGGTTAAAAAAAAATTATACAAAATTACATATAAGAGGTGGTGAGGGGAATGGGAAAATAAACAAGGAGAGAAATGAATTACAGTAGATGGGGTAGAGAGAGAAGATGGGAGGGGAGGGGAGGGGGGATAGTAGGGGATAGGAAAGGTAGCAGAATACAACAGTCACTAGTATGGCATTATGTAAAAATATAGATGTGTAACCGATGTGATTCTGCAATCTGTATTTGGCGTAAAAATGGGAGTTCATAACCCACTTGAATCTAATGTATGAAATATGATATGTCAAGAGCTTTGTAATGTTTTGAACAACCAATAAAAAAAAGTAAAAAAAAATTTAAAATAAATAAATAAATAAATAAAAATTAGGAAATGAGTGTCCTCAGTTCTTCTATTCTGCTCACTCAGAAAACTGAGTGTTGGGCTAGGGATATAGCTCATTTGGTAGAGTGCTTGCCTCACATGCACAAGGACCTGGGTTCGATCCCCAGCACCACAGAAAAAGGAAGAAAAAAAAAAACCTAAGTATTGCCAGCTGAGCTTGTGATGCTGCATGGAGATTGAGTAGAAAGAAGAGGACTGGGAAAAAGAAAGCGGGGGTTCCCATTGAAGAGTGTTGAGATTTATACTTGATCAAGAATAAGAAATAAAAGCAGAGAAAAAATCTAAAGTCCATCTCACAGTGAGAATTTGGTTTGGGGAACTGAGAGTAAAAAGGAACTTGAAGGGAGTGGCCATCTGCCAGTGCAGGATATTAAATGTGGAAGAGATAGAGAGTATACTTCAGAAAAAAAAAAGAGAGAGAGAGAAAGAGAGAGTATATTTCAGATGCTTAGAATGTGTTCCTGTGGTGAGATGGATCTTTCACATTTCTGTATTTCCTGCAAATATTGCAGGTCACCTTTGAAATAATGTTTATCTACCCCAAAAGCCTTGGAAGATACAGACAGTATCTCTCTCTAGGGCACAGAGCATGCATGGTTGCTGACCATATATAAAAGATGTGGGTTCTCTGAGCTTAGGGTTCCTCTCCTGTAACAAAACACAACACAACACTACCAGTTTCATCTGGCTTTCTTGGGGACATCATGCTGAAACTGAAACATGGGGAGCTGGAGCAAAAATGCTGATACTCTGGCCACTACCATTGCTGTGAATGATACACTGTTCTTCACATCAGATCCAGGAGTCCCTTGTCTTCTACCAGCATACTTGTAAGCTTCCAAGTAGTTTAAAATCTCAGACCTTTCATAGTTCTTAACAAACTATCTATGCATCCCCTTGCCATCTTCTTGAAATACTAAAGCACAAATTTGAATTACCCAAAGTATCTTTTTCTATCAAACAGTTATTGCTTTCAGTTAATATCATAAAGAGACAGGCTCTATCGGCAAGGCCCAGTGAACCCTGTTCTGTTCAGGTTACATCCCACCTCGTCCTTTTCCCACCTTGTCATACCCACTACCCCTTAACAG